ATATACCCTTGCTTATATTTGGTAGCAAGAAAATACCCTAAAGTTTTTTTTTAAATTACACTTATATACCCTCTCTTATTTTTTAAGCACTTATATATCCTAAAGTTATTAAAACTTGCAATTAAATACCCTAAAGTTTTATCTGGCACATAAAACCCTAAAGTTTTTAAAACTTGCTATTAAATGCCCCCAAGTTTGCATAACTAAGGTTTTTTACGTACAAGTTTTAATTTTAGTGTATTTAAGTGCCTCCAAAAAAAAGTAAGGGTACATAAGTGCAAGTCTAAAAGACTTTAGGGTAGTTTTTTTCCTACCAAATACAAGCTGGAGGTACATAAGTGAAAACTTGGTGAAAACATATGGTATATAGGTGCTATTTAGCCTTATCTATAAGAGTGTGAATGGTCAGATGCGTATTTCTCAGCAAAAATGGAAATTGGAATTGAAGCCAGTAGGTGTTTAGCTGAAACGAAATGGATCTTATGGCTTAAATATTGCAATAAGATTTACATTTTCAGTGCTTGGTTACCAACAAGATTGTTATAGATAGTAATTGGACTCATGTTTTGTACGAAAACAACTAATTTGGTCGCAAAAAATGTAGCAAGTTCTGTATTAATAACAAAAAAGAAACTACACCATGTAACTAAATTAGTTGGTTCTAACTAAAATATTTAGATTGTTTTAAATTCGTAGAGAAACTAACACTTTGATTGCAATGAAAATGTACTTCCTATAACAAAAATGCAAATTGAACGGTTTTTGCAATCAACCAAACATTGAATCTGAGACTCAAAGTACATTAAAATACATTTACCATAATAATGATATAGACATTCAAACAACGTACTTAAGGTTAATTTCTTGTAATTACAACGTACCAAACATAAGTGCATGCTTGCCAAAATAATTATATTTATAAAAGTTCAACTTTTTTTCCTTTTTCTTTTCTTTCTTTTTTTTCTTTTTCCAGATAAAGAACCCCAACTAAAAGGGATCCTAGCCGACTTTCATTACCCTAAAAGTAAGCATGTCCATCCGGGCCGGGCCGGCCCGGCCCGAAAATCCGGGCCCGGGCCAGGCAAAACCGGACCCAGACCTGGGTACCCCGGGCCCGGGCCCGACTGGGCCGGGTTCCTAGCTGGCCGGATTTTTTCCAATTTTTTATCAAAATTTTTAAATTTTATTTAAATTTTAAATTATAAAAAAAGATAAGAAAAATTAATAAAAAACAATAATTTTATTAATCACTTAAAATGACATAAATTACAAATAAAAAATAATAAAAACAAATTCTTTATTAATAATTAATAAATTATTTATAAATTATAAGTACAAATTTATTTTGGAATTCATCGCATCACAATAGATACAACTTTTTTCGAAATAATTTAATTCAAATTTAAAGCTAAGAAATAAAAATTACAATTTTATGAATATTATCTAATCATTATATCTATCTGCTAGTCCCAACTCTTCAAATTTATCTTCAATCATAGCAATCCGTTCGATGCCTTGTGTTCGCTTCTCGTATCTCCACCAATCCTGTAAGCACATCACCGCTTGTACAGTATACGGATCTAAGCATGTCTTGTGGTCGTCGATCAAACGTCCTGCTATGCTGAACGCGGATTCCGAAGCTACCATCGAAACCTGCACTGTTAGTAAGTTACGAACCATGGTGAAAAGTATAGGATATGAAACTGATCCATATACTTTCCACCATTGCAAAATATCTAAAGCATTTCCTTGACATTTAACTAAAGAAGCAGATAAATATTCATCTATTTCAAAAACCTCCAATGATGACGATCCAAGTCCAGATCCACCAGTTAGCTCAGCTACCATTGCATACCTATCAAAACTTACACTTTTACCTCGACCTGTGCTCGAAGTCGAAGCTGAAGGTGCCGAAGCTGAAGACTGTTGTGTAGCTACACCATATCTAGCTGCATACTCATCATATAAGGTTTGAAAATAATTTCTAATAGCTAAATGATGAGTAGTAGCAGTAAGGGTGGTTCCATCATCTAAGTCTATAATCTGATTACCATACAAGGATTGTAACAAACTTCGAAGGCCAATATCCTTCAAGCATGGATCAATAAGAACCCCCAAACCAAAAATATGATGAATAGGCCTAAAATACTTATTAAATTTGCTCTCCATTTGAAAAATCATAGGTCCAAAGTATCATCCATACGATATTTCCCAAATTTTTTTTGAATATTTAAAATTTGTAAAGCAGCTAAAGTAATGGTTGGATAATAACAGCCAGATAATAACATTGTAGCATCATAAAAAACTTATAACATTTTATTTAAATTACATATAATTGTTCATTCATCTTCAGTTATTTCATAAGTGCTACCAGAACTAGAACTAGAAGCATAATAGTTTATAAAATCAGTTATAATGTCTTTATATTCTATTGCTACACTTAACATTGCATAGGTAGAATTCCACCTATGGTCAATATTTTTTGGAATTAGTCTGTGCTTTATATTTTTTCTTTTACAAAATTGTTTCCATCTTTTAAGTCTTTGTTCAGAAGCATTATGCATATAAGCAACTGTTCTAACCTTTTCTATCATGGGTTTAATTTCAGTAAATGTACTTTGAATAATTAAATTTAAAATATGACAGATACACCTAATATGAAAAAGATCACCATGACATGGCAATAATTGATCTGATAAAATCAACAACTACATTGTTATTACTTGCATTATCTAGTGAAAGAGAAAATATTCTTTCTGAAATTTCTAATTTCATAAGTTCTTCAATTATTAAATTTGTAACATTAATACCAGTATGTGACTCTTCTATTGCAATAAAAGAAACAACTCTTTTAAACATTTGCCAATTTTCATCAATCCATTGTACTGTGATACATAAATATCCAGTTTGTGCTCTAGATGTCCAAATATCAGAAGTTAAAGAAAATTTACAGTTTAAAATTTTAAAATAAGAAATTATTTTTCCTTGTTCCTCCTGATAATATTTTAAAATATCACATTGACAGGTTTGACGAGAAAATTTTTTAAATGCAGGATAAAAACCATCTCTAAACATATCTTCAAATTCATCATCTTCTACTAATTTAAAAGGAAGGTTTTTAAGAATGATAAACCTGATTACGCATTTCCTGGCTCTGGCAGCGTCATAGTTCCAACTACCGAGACTACCAGAAGAGGAGGATTGAGAAATCATGGATTGTCGGATATCACATTGAGGAGTCTGGCCTTTGTTGTGTTTATCTAAATGGCGTTTGAGGTGGTTGGTGCCGCTCTTATGATGAGCTTGAAAAATCTTGCCGCACAACGCACACTTAGCCTTCTGGGTGAGGATCCCACCATGTTCATCCTTGGTGATGTCGATTTTCTCGTAAAAATTCCACACATCGGATCTTGGCCTTTTAGGAGCTCTTGGTGCAGATTCGTCGCCACCGGATTCAGGATTAAATTCGGTAGGAGTAGACCCAGTAGGACTCATTTCAAGATCGTGAGATAGGTTTTGCTCTTTATAATCAGATCCAGAAGCCATTTGATGAAAGGATTAGAAAGTATAAGAGAGTATAAGAGTATAAGAGAGAAGTAGATGAGTTTTGGTGTGAAGAAAACAAATAAAAACCCCCCTCTATTTATAGAACCAGCCCCCTAAGCAAATGATCAAAATAACCTCACAAAATAGCCGTTTTTTGACCGTTTTTTGGGACAAAACGGTCAAAAGACCGATTATGGCCGGGCCGGGCTGGGCCCGGCCCGACCCGGACCGTTTGCCACAACTGGTCCTCTCGTGATCGTTGTGGTCGGGTCGGGCCGGATGCGGCAGCCCGACACGACCGTTTTGGCCACAGATGTCACTTGTCGTGACCGTTGTCGGTCGGGTCGGGGCCGGGCAGCCCGGCCCGCCTCGGCTTTTTTTCGACCAACGGTCACTAGTGGTTGACCGTTGCCACCGGGCGGGTCTCCGGGTGCCCGGGCTGCCCGGCTGCCGGATTTTTGCCCGGCGCGCCTTGTTCCGGGTCGGGTCCTGCGCCTGGCTGGGCGCCGCTGAGGCAGCCCAGACCCGGGGCCGGAAACCGGCCAGGTTCCGGGGATTGTCCGGGCGAAGGCTCGGGCCGGTTTGGACTCGGACCGGCGGGCTTTTTGAACAGGCCTACCTAAAAGTGAATTGGTTATAAGTCTACAACGAAAAGTAAGTACACAACTAGGAGTACAGCTTTGCAATATCCTTTGTAGTCTTTGCAACTCCTCTCCATGACCATGAGCTCCATCAGCTACATTAACAGGTGCAATAGACTGTTTTCCTCCCCCTCCAAGAAGCCTTCTATCGTAGTTATCAAATTCAGAAGTTAGCATAGTAGACGATCTTCCTCCAAATTTCTAGTGAATGTGAGTGTTTGTAGTGAAAATTCTCGTGTTCCTTTCTATCTCCCCACACAATCTAGATTAAAGCAAAGAAAAAAGAGCTCCACTTTTTTCTTTGATCCTCTTTGAAAGTATCATATTTCCATTCCACCCATAAATATCATAGAGAATCCTGAGAGCTTCAGTAACTTGAAATCTAAAATTTAAAGAACCACACATAGATTTAACAAACTCACACTTGATAAAAAAAAATGTTCATGAGTTTCATTTTCTTTCCCACACGGTACACAAAGAGGATTAGTATAGATTCCTTTCAAAAAAAAGTCTGTCTTTAGTATCCAATTTGCTAAGAATAGCAATCCTAAAAGAATCAATATTATGCGTTGTCTACTAAAAAATAATCAATATGATGCATTGTGTTGAAAGTCTTTCCTGTATTTTTGCCAGTTCCCTAAATTTAATTTAGTCCCACATTCATTAGAGTCAAATTATTTTGTAATCATAATACTATTAATAAGACTAGAGAGGAGAGGGACAAATCAATCCTCTCTAATTACTCTTTCTACATGGTATCAAAGTCGCATCTTAGCCCTCCATCAAAACCAACTCCCATCCATAAATCTCATCCCTTAATTTAAATCCTAGCCTCTCTGTTCTCAAGACAAAAACCCTAGCCGTCAAAAACCACACCACCGCTGTCGACCGCCCTGTCCATCAACCTCTCCGGTGGCCCCACAGTTTCACCTCCTTTCTCTTCTCTATCTTTGAGGTCAGCATCCCTTCTTGCATCACCGTCAACGTCGAGTGGTCACCATCAACTCCTCCTCCTCATCCTCTGTCACTACCGCCATCGCCCTCCAGTCAAAATCTACCAGTGCTGCTCTCCCAGATCCGCTTCCATCAGACCAAACCTGACCCTAACCCTAACAAAGACCATAACCTAAACCTAAATCACCTAAAGCCCTAACCCTAACCAAACCAGACTTGACCTGAAACCTCTAACCCGAAACCAAACCAGACCAGACCCTACTCCTAGGCTGCAGAAACTCTAGAACCAAGAAAAAAAAGAAAGAAAGAAAAATTGGAAGGAACTCATTTACATGTTTACCCATGGTATTCTACCTGATATGCTTAAGATTGGGTGGGTGGATTGTTCGTTGGATGTGCTAATTTTTGTTGCTGATTGATTTGGTTAGTATTTGTCAGAACTTGTTAGAGCTTGGTTTGTTGCGCTAGTTGACTACTAGTCGTTATAGTTGTTTGGAGGATATTCTTTTGTTTGATGACTTTTTATTTGAAATGTGAAGCGAAAATAGAGGTGAAAACCACTTCAGAGGTGATATATACCAAAATTATCGACAATAAGTTGGATGATGATAATTGCCAATATTGGAAACAGATAATTAAAATTTATGTTGCTAGCAATCAAAAGACGCGACACTTGACAGAAGGTCCTCCTGATTCAATGACTAAGGAGTGGATAGCTAATAATGTGCTACTGCTTGGACAGATCATCAACATAGTGAAGTCACGGATTCAGGATCTGATGCTTCATTGTCAGATTGTGAAGGAGCTTTGGGCATACTTAGGTCGATTATACTCAGGAGCTAGATATGTGAATAGATCTTATGACATTCAGAAGATCCTTTGCATGAAACAAGTGGAACTGACATTGGATGTGCATTATGCAGAGTTTAATCAACTAGCTGAGAAGTTCCGATAGATTTTTCTCATTACGTCAGATGTAATCAGATGTAGGATTAGTAGGATCAGTTGATGGCCTTAATCTTCTTAATGACTCCACACCCTATTTATCATTCTGCATGATCACATGTATTAGGTTGTACAATAGTCTCCTCACTTGTAGAGACTTATCACTTCCTGAAATGGGTGACTCCTACAATCTCATCTATATTTCCAGTCATCTCATCAGATCGATCTACCTTAGTATCCCAAGGAAGATAGACAAGAGGCCGCGGTGGTAGTTTCTTAGGCCATGGTGGTAGTGGTGTTGAGCGCGGGTGTGGGGGATGCTTTGGATGACATGGAGGATGAGAGGATAGTTCATGAGGAGTCATAAAAGATTATTCTTCTGTTTACTGTCATTATTAAAAGAAACTAGGTCCTATGAAGTTTAATTGTCCTCGGTTCCTCGGTTGTAGGACAAACAACCTCGAAATTCACATGTAGCTGCTCAGGAGAGTCTTTTAAATGATCGGACTCGTCATGAGCTTGAGCAGTTAGAGCTATTCCAACAATTAAGAAAGATGTTATCCTCTCCCGCTATAGCTACACTTATCCAATTAGGTAATCATATTGCGTGTCTTACATCATCATCGTTCAATACTTGGGTTGTAGATTCAGGGGTGTCTGACCACATGACTAAGAACCGAGGTATACTATCCTCTTGTACACTATGTCTCTTACTATTTATTATTATCATCATTTCATTATTTTATGTCTTCTCTAGACTCTCACTCAGTTCCCAAGAACGTGTCGGAAGCACTATTTATCCCATGTTGGATAGCAGCAATGCAAGAAGAGATGACAGAATGAGACTTGAGAAAGAAAGCTGTTGAATGCAAGTGGGCTTACACAGTCAAAGTAAATCCAGATGGATCTCTAGCTTGCCTTAAAGCTTGACTAGTTACAAACGGTTATATGGTACATTAACACCTTCTCTCCTCTAGCAAAAATGACGTCCATCCATATTCTTTTCACTTGCCGCTCACTATCACTAACCAATCCATTAGCTGGATATTAAGAATATTTTTCTAAATGGCATTCCGGATGAGGAAGTTTTTGTGGAGCAACCACCAGAGTTTGTTGCTCAGGGGGAGTATGGGAAGGTTTGCAGATTAAAAAAAGCTCTCTGTGGCTTGAAACGATATTTGAGAGCATGGTTTGGACGTTTTACAATAGCAGTTTAACAATTTGGTCTTCATCGAACTTAGAAAAACCATTCTATTTTCTGGAGATTTCTTGGTGAGAATCGGATCCTTCTGATTATATATATTGATGATATTGTGATCATTAGAGATGATGTACATGGTATTAGAGACTTATAAAGGAATACCTACAATAACAATTTCAGACCAGGTCTCTTGGGCCCCGAAAGTATTTTCTAGGCATTAAGATAGCTAGATTAAGGAAGGGAATCATTTTATCTCAGAGAAAAAATATGCTCGACATGTTGACAAATGCCAGAATATCAGAATTCAAGGGTATTGACTCACCTATGGATGACAAGAACTTCTACTAGATTAGGGATCTTGAGAAATATAGGAGATTAGTTAGGAAGCTAAACTATTTGACAGTTACTAGGCCAGATATTATATTTTCTGTTAATATAGTTGGTCAATTTCTATCAGCATTCAGGATACCCTACATGGAGGCTGTGAAAGAGGATTCTTAGATATCTTAAGAAAATTCCAGACAAGAGACTTCTCTATTCAGATAGTAAACATTAAAGAGTTGCAGGTTTGTCGGATGCAGATTGGACAGGATCTCTGGCTGAGAGAAGATCAATTACAAGATATTGTGTATTTCTTGAAGTAAATCGAGTTTCATGGAAGAGCAAAAAAGCAAAGTGCAGTTTCTAGATCTACAATTGAGTCCGAGTATCGAGCCATGGAGAATCTAACCTATGAGCTTATCTGAGTTAGAGATATATTGATATAAATTGGTTTTCCTCCTAGATGTCCAATGAACTTATATGGAGACAACAAGCCTTCCATTCACATAGGCGCCCTTCAGAACATCGGCTTGTACAGCTATTCTTACAAAATCTCTTAGGACACAAATGTAAAATAACTAGGGCGAGGATGTGTAAGATTTGCTGGGCTTTTGGAAAGTAATTCTTAATTTCATCCACAGGTTTATTTGGGCTTCATTTATGGGCCGTTCTGTGACTATCAAATAAAAGCACTAGTCTGCATGTCATTACCATGCTCTGTAAAGATGGTTAGAGGTAATTTTGTGTATCCAATTTCTATATCGAAACCATGTTCGGTGAACGGGGAAAAAAGAAGAAAAAGGTGCGGCTTATTATGCGGATTAGGATCCTCTGAAGTCGGGAAAAGAAAAAAAGAAAGAAAGAAGCCAACACCGCAACCCCGGCCACCCCAAAAAAAACAATAAAATAAAAATGATGGTTATATTTCTAAGTCCTAAAGATCTGTTTGGTAATTAATTCAATTAAATTGGGACAGCTTTGGTCCTTAAGTTGGCAATGGCTACAATCAATTTATTAGTGTACTAGCTCTCTGGTTCACAATTGGACCAGTTTAGAGTCTCGGATTGGAACTGAAATAAATTGGGCTACAAATGACTCGATCAGTTTTTGCAAATCAAAGGAGTATCTTAAACCGATCCATGTTCAAATTTAGTCTAGTTTTAAACAGTTTGTCAATTAAAAAAGAGAGTTGTCAAACTGATCTAAGTCAGTTTTTCTTACAATGGTAAAAAGACTATATCACTGTATATAATATCCATTTTTATTTCATATCGAGGAGAAATCATAATTATTTAAAAAATATGAACTATTATGATATGGGAGATTAATGTCTAACTTTCAGTGAAAAAAATGAGGGGATTTGTATCCTCAAAATTAGCTGGAGAGCTGGCGTAGTTGTTGCAAAGTCTTCAGTAGTAGTTTTAGTAAAGAAGGAGAAGAAGAAGAATATAAATATAAAAAATGTTACCGTACGCAAAATTATGTCTCGTTTATCTTGTATAAATATACGGGCGCAGGGAACTTGGTGAGACTGTTTATCGACGTCGTGGGCGAGAAGATTGCGGCTGATACATAATGAACATAAATAACTACAGAACCGCACACGTACACATATCTTATCTACACGTAAAATTAAAGCTCCTAAAGAATTGAATCTCGAGTTATCAATCAATTACATAAAATAACACACAACAAAAAACTCATAAAAAAGTTGGGGGGGAAATTAATTACCATTAACGCTTCTCAATTTAATCTCTTCAACCTACAACACCTCACCCAAAGAACCACAAAGCAAATAACCCTATACCCAACAATAAACCCCAGCATCACAATCAAGCTCCTCCATTTTTGCTCCCCAACCAACCCTTGCTGCCTCAAAAACATCTCCCCATCAACGACACAGATTCCTTCCCCGTCTCTGGTCACGCACTGCCTCCTCCCCCTCTCCCCTCCGTACTCGTTCACCATAAACCCTTCAAACGGATACTTAAACAAACTCAAATAATGCATAAAAATCCAGTACTTCGGTATGTTCCTCTTCGCGATAAAATACCCGGAAAATAGGAAAAACGAACCCATCAAGCCTGCGATCAACGAGTTGCCCAAAATGAAATTAGGAACCATCGCGCTGAAGCACGATACGAAAGAGTTCGCCATCGCCATGACCAACCAGACCACCAGCCAAAAATAGAGAAACCCGTGTTGAGGATAGGAGGAACGTTAATGTAAACGCGAAAAATCCGACTCGAGACGAAATGTTGTCTACGTTCATGAAGATCGTTCCTAGCGCAAATCCCGCTAAAACGCACTGAAGCATTCTTGCCGACGATAGCTGCCTTGTTCTGAGGACGTTCTTGAAGAATCTGGCTGTGAGGATTCTAACCTCGTTGAAGCGAGAGTTTGCGTAATAAATTCGAGCTTCTTTAGGGACTAGATCGCAAAACTCTCGCTGGGACATAGAAGGTGACGGGGCCATGACCTGACTTGGTAGCGTTTCAACTGCATCCATGGCGAACTCGAGCACGTTAACGTGGGGCGGGATCGAGTGACCCGATTCGATTAGTTTCGCTTCGAGAGACGGAAGAGAGCCGTGGTGCTTAACGGACCCGTTGGAAATTAGCAGGATCCTATCAAAGAGGTCCAAGATCCGAAACCCGGGCTGGTGGATGGTGAGGATCACGGTTTTGCCCTGGAGAACAGCCATCGATTTGAGAATAGTGATGACGTGGAGGGCGCAGGCGGAGTCGAGGCCTGAGGTGGGCTCGTCGAGGAGGAGAATTTGTGGGTCGTGAACGAGTTCGGATCCAATCGAGACCCGACGCCGTTCTCCACCAGATAACGACCCGATTCTCGAATTCGCCACGTGCGCAAGCGAGAGCTCGTTGAGGATGTCCTGAACTCGGGTTTCGGGCTCCGTCCGGGCACAGCGGAGTCGGGCTGAAAACAAAAGCGACTCGCGAACCGTCAGTAAGGGGAAGAGGGTGTCATCTTGGGTGACGTAGGCAGAGAGACGGCGGAGCTTGGTGGAGGAGGAGGAGGAGGATAGAGGGGCGGCGTTGAGGAGGATATGACCGGAGATTTCGCCTGAGGGGAGAGCTCCGGCGAGGATGGAGAGGAGGGAGGTCTTTCCGGCGCCGCTGGGGCCTACGATGGCGAGGAGCTCAGAGGGGAGGGCGGAGCACGTGACGTCGGAGAGGATGGCGCGTGAGGGGATGGAGAGGGAGAGGGAGATGGCGTCGAGGCGGTACCGAGGTTTTCGGGTCACCGGAATCGACATGGCCGTTAATGAATGAAGAGGGAGAGATTGAGGAGTGAATGGGATTAAAGTAAGGGAGTTGAGAAAAATGGAGAGTAGAAGAGGAGATGAGCTAACGTTACCAAACTTAAAACTTGAGAGTGCCCACCCTCTTGATATTATGCGTTATTTTTCCTTCTTCATGCAAGAATCAATTTTAAGTATAATATGGTTGTGTGCTGGAATCTTGGTGGCTTAGGTGTGAGGCTTTTGTATAGGAAGTTTTGAGGTGTATATGTGTGGGTGTGGTTGGTGTACGTACGTATAAGTTAATACGTGATGGTTTGTGATTTATTTACCCGATTCCAAAGTTTGATAGTTGGATTCGATCTTAATTTCGATGCGAGAAGTTCTCTTGCTAACTGTATTATAACTAATAGATTTTTACCAAATAGTCACCACTCTCAATTTATTCATGAGCTCAATTCATGTCAGGTTCCATTATCTGGATCATATGGAACCTCTAAAGATACGTAACAATCCCCTTTCTTTTTAGGGCATGTTTGGTACATTTCTAAAAAAAATGGGAAAACAGAAATAAAGAAATGAAATGATTTCAAGACATTTCCAGTGTGCTTTCCAGTTTTTATTTATTTTGTTTGTTTCACAGTGAAATCAACCCCTTAAAATGTATTTCTTTGTTTCCACATGTTTGTTTCATTACTTTAGAAACAAGAAATTACATCCCTATTTACATTTCCATTTCTAATGTTTGGTATGCACAAATACCCCAACAAAAGAAGAGTTGAATGCCAAAACCATGGTGAGCTTAACGCTCCCAAAGTAGTTCACAGCAATAATCCCAACGGAACAAAGCCTAACGGTCATTTTTTAAAAACCGCACAAAAGTAAAGAGCTGACAACGGTCAAGTAAAAACCATCTATATATTGTGTCCACTTGGGTGAGTAATTTACAGTTGCAGCAAAGCTAGAAAGCTCCAACAATTCATAGAGCCTTTTCATTTTGGTGCCTTCTTCAAAATTAAATTACCCAAGGGCCTTCTTCTTTGACAGTGCTTAGCCATGGCTGCTGCCCAAAGAGGTATGCACAAATCTCCTGAGATAAAATGTTTATGCAATATACCAACACCATTGAAGCTGTGCAAAGTAGGTTCGAACAAGGGCAAATTTTTTTGGGGTTGTGCCAAATACCCAAATAGATCATGCCAATTCTTTAGGTGGGTCGAAGATGAGAAAGAAATAAAAAATAACGAAACCAGAAAAGAAGAACCTTCTCTTCAATCAGTGTCGGAATTAAAAGAGCTGGAAACAAAGCATTTGCGAAGAGAATTGAAGCATGCAATTGAACAAGTTGAATATTTGAAAAAATGTATTATAGTTTTGGGGCTATTCAATATTTTCCTTGTTCTTGTAAACATTGTAATCTGCATCTTGAAAATATAATAAAAATATTTTGTGTAAACATTTTGGTTATAAGTTATAATGCAATTCAACTTTTCTGTTCTCTTTGTAGAACAAGGCTATTCCAATACTTAACAGGCATGTAAATGTCAACTTCTGCATATATATATCATCAGAGAAGAATCACCAGGTTTGTTAAGCAATTGTGCTCAGGTCTACGTCAACTTCATCACATATTCATCACCAAGTTTGCAAGACAATGTTGGCTGCATTCCACAATTTGGACTGCCTCGCCATATCATTGCATGTAATTTTTACTGGTTTAGAATATCAAAAAACATGACATTCATCACTGCACAAATAGGAACTGAGCAAAACAGAAAAACCAGAACACAACAAAGCTTCATTGTTTAACCAACTGAAAGATAACAAAAAACTGAGCAAAACAGAAAAACCAGAACACAACAAAGCTTCATTGTTTAACCAACTGAAAGATAACAAAAATTCAGCTAATAAACAAAAGGTTTCCAGCAGAGAGGCAACTGCGTAGTGAATAATGCCAAAACCACAAAAATTCAGCTAATAAACAAAAGGTTTCCAGCAGAGAGGCAACTGCGTAGTGAATAATGCCAAAACCATCAAAAACAGCAGAGAGAATCAGCACATGCTAGGATAAGCAAGCACAGCATTTTCAACAACGTATTCTACACCATGTTAAAACAGCATGCATAATTTGATTGTTGAATTTGTACATAGAAAAGAGGAAGTAGTCCCTAAGTGTAGAGTGTAACAAAAAATAAGACCAAGAGGTATGAACAAGTGCTTAGATAAACGAAAGTGTCAAAACAGCACAAGACAGTAGCATATGTAGCAGTCAAAACAACACAAGGCAACAAAGACCAAGTAGTTTATAAGTGGTTTATAAAAAAAATAGTCAAAACAGTACAAGGCAACAACACATGTAGTCTAGCATGCACAACAATTTTAACAGAGTGAGTTGAGATGGGTTCTGAAAGCTGCTTTATGAAAGTGATGTGTAACCAAACAATAATAGAGTTCTGAAAGCTGCTTTATGAAAGTGATGTGTAACCAAACAATAATAGAGGTATGAACAAGTGTTTAGATCATGCAAGAGTCAAAACAAGTGAGAAAGATATCATATATAATAAGGCATGCACAACATTAATATTGCACAACAAATTGTGAGCTGATAAGGGGTGTCAAAACATCACAAATAAACAACAGTGAGGCCAAAAGATTGAATCAGGTTTTGTGCTCAAATAGGAACCTACTTCATCACATATCCATCATCAGCAAATAATTGTATGATAATGTTGGCTGCATGCCCGATAATACTAGTGTTTTCATAGCTGAATAAGAATATCATAAAGTGTGGATAGGGCTGCCTTGCCAAATGATTGTTTGCAATAAATGCTGGGTAAGAATATAAAAAACCAGCCCCACTCATCATTGCACAAATGTGGTTGCTTGATGTTTCCCAAAACCCAAAACCCAAAACCAGCCATGAGTCACAATGGGTGAAGCTATATGTGCAGAAATAATCAGCTTCAATAGGCGTGGGGAAAGCATAAAGTGTGGCAGTGTATCAAATCAGCTCAAGAGCTGACTGAAGGTCTCTGTAGAGGATGAGTCACGTGCTCTCAAATATATTACAAACATACCAGATCTAGGAGTTTAACAAAAAAATAGCCTCATGTTTTTTGCTCGCGCAAAATCTATATGGTAATTGCTAGCTCCCCACCGGTCCTGCAAAATATATAACCAATTAGCAAGGATGAATCAAAAGTTCAGCACACGTATAAAAGCACAAGTGTAGTGTAAAATCCTACCTTCACCCACACTCATTTACTTCCCCCTCCTTGCATCTGCATGAAATTGTCCAACAAAGCCCTTTGGCCAAAGTCACTCTTACCTATAAAATGCCTCGCTTTGGTTTTATTTTCAAATGTGGTATCATAAAATAGCTCCAGGACTTCTATAGGGTAAGTTTCTTTGTGCCTAAAGATGGCTGTAGACAATTTCTCAGTCCAGTGCTGATTAACAAGATTGAGAGATGATGAAAAGAGTTTAACTTCATCCACCATATGTTGCATGATGTCACAACCAACATCTGTCTTTCTCATGCGACCTTTCACCGATGGTATTTTTTTATGGTAGTCCTTTCTGGAGGCGTTATCATTGTTGGTTTGAGATTGATTATCTTCATCTAAAAAGTTAATTGTGGGAAGGGACTTCTGAGGCACAGACATGCTAACATTTTGATCTTCGTCATCATCTCCAAGGTTGATTGCATCGTGGCCCCCAAATTTCTCCATCGAGGCCTTGGAAAAGTTACCTCTTGCTTGATCATCCCACAGATGACAGCTAGGTTCTCATAATGCTTCAGCGGCTTATTTATGTAATCTTTAAGCCTACTCTTATTTTTATCCTGCATGTCATCAATATCCAATTCAATATAAGGAAGCGTATTTATTTGTTTGGTCAAATGAATCAACATTTTGAAGATATGCACGCTTCATTTACCTCATTCCATGTATCAAAGCTCTCGGGATCCAGCATGATTGTTTGTGTTGCCTTATCCCAACCTGCGCCACTGATATTACGCGCAGCCTGCATGTCTTGAAACCAAGAACAAATTGTTTTCATATGGTTAACAACACTCTTGGTAGCAAATGATGTACCAAATTGCTTATTTACTTCAGCGGCCACCATTGCAAAGACATGTTGCTTAAAGTTTTTGTCTGGTTTAAGGCCAGACCTTGCCAAATTGACCAAAAAAGGTATGAGCACGTCATCGTGAGCAGGGGTCCACCATCTGGTTGGGGACCCAGATGAAGCTGCTTCACCACGTGGTATTTGTCTTTTCCTGTGGGCCACAACCTTGAATTTTTTGGGTGAACTAGCTGAAGTGGCTACTACTTCATCCCTTTCCAATCGTTTTTTACTACCTGAATCAGAAGTAGTCCCTATAACACTAGTTGGAGAATGAAAGTAACCGGAGGAATTGGAGCCTTGAAATGGTTGTGGCAAAGATGGGGCGTTACTGAGAATGTGCATATAAGATGAAATGGGGTGAGACATAGGGAAAAGTTACCATCGGTATGCAGAACATTGGTAAAACCAGAGGGTGATTGCACGTAGGGGGAGGATGGCTAGAATATTAGGTTGAATGGGTGATTGAACCCACTACTTGATGGAAGCACGGGAGAGGGTGGTTGGCTCCTAGCCGTTGGGGAGTGAGTGGTGGTCCTCACGTTGGCCAAATCATGCACAGCATTGTTTGCATTATCAACCATATCCTATAGTCCAATAATTCATATGTTAGTCCAAAAAAATATTAAGAAGATGGTATTTTAAATTGACTGCTTTGGAATAGAGCAACAAATGTTGTGAGACACATGAAAGCATAATACAAAAGATAACTAAAATAGTATTAAAGTACATGACATAAAAGAGGAATACATGATATCCTGCATAATAACAAGGTGTAGATTGATGCCCTAACCAATAAAGAAGTCGCACAATTGGATATAACCAACACATGTTAATGTAGCAACAAACACAGAGTGCGAAATAAGTTACAATAACCACAACCATAATAAACTAAGAACAACTACAGGAATCATATAAAATCACACCGCGGACTCAGTTGTGTCACCATGTCGGTATTTACAAC